AGTTGCTGATAAAGAATCTTAGTTGTCCCTGTTGTTCCTTTTGAAACGCTATTCCTGAATTTCCTTCATCTGAGCGGCAGGGTGCTAATTTCTATCCAGTATTCACCATCATACTGTTGAGTTTCACAATATTCTTATTCTAGTGCTCCAGATCTTCTGATTGCCAGTGCTTCCAAACCCATGTACTTCCTTCTAGTGGAAAGAGAATTATTAAAACTGATAATGAGTCCTGAAGAAACTCTTTGAAATCTCCCTCAAGTACGAAGGAAGGCTATGCACAATACATGCTTATTATATACCACTTAAAATGTCTCTAAACACACTCTTTGTCTTGCCTTTTATTTCTCATTAGATACCCCACTATATAAAATACTTAAGCTCCAGAACAGACATCTACCTATTTTCTGTTTTCTAGAAGATTTGGTATCTTTTCAGGGGGAAAATATCTCTTTGGATTTTTCCAATAAACCCACCTTCTACTTCATCCGAAATTTTAGTTATCTTCAATCCCTTAGTAATTCTTTTCTGTAATGAATCTTCCAACACAAAGCATTGCATACTAATGAGTTTAGATTAAAGGCCCTAACACACCAGATGACTCATTTAACCCGTCTTTTCTATCCATTCCACTAGAAGTTCTACCATTACCAAATAATGAGTCTCACAGTGTTTGCTTCCCAGTCTGAAAGTTTTATTGCAAGTTTTTGCAATTTGACCTGATTTAACCTTTAGCTCAGTTACAGATCAGGGATCGATACTATTAACCACATGAAACTCGATTAATTTTGCCATCTACTGTGATAGCAGTACTTTTTCCCCTTCGTATCTCAGTTCCTGCTACAGCCTTTTCCCTTCTCCAATGTCAGATATAATAATTGTCACTGAACACTAAAGCAAATTATTTTTTTCAGTATAAAAGCCATACTTAGTTACCTTTTGTTCCTACTGTGTCCTATCTGCATATTATGAACTTTTAGTACTGGCTTTGTTCTCTATTCATTTCAATGTCTTTTATGTATAAAAGCATATACATGTGTTAAAAAAAGAAGAGCAACTTGTGGCAATTTTTCAAGTTTTTACAGCACCCATCTCTATTTTTGCATGCACATGTACGTTAAGCAAAAATAAAATATTTTCCAACAGCTAGGGAAAAGACTGGGCAAAAAAGTGTCTGTCAAAGCATGTGCCCAAGCACTGAAATAACTATTTAAACACCAAATTCTGAAAACATAAACAGTAAACATGTCTGTAAGTAACTAGAACCTAACATCATTAAAATAGCACAGGAATGAAGCTGGGATTTTTACTGCATCTTCTCTCTTTTGATGAGCTGTGACTTATTTGATTTCTGAGTACGAAGAGATAAACAGTCACAGGGGTTTTGTTACTCTCAGCCTGCTCAGACAACTAACAAGTTAATGTTAAAATTCTTTTCTGATGCCTTTTTTTGACTCCAGTTTTTTATAGAATAGATATTTTCCCCTTTTAGTAAGCCACCCCTTAAATGTCACAAAAGATGGCTCTTACAAACCATCACTTTGATCAATTTTCATCTCACTATGCCCAGCATTAGCTTCCATGATAATCAATGGTATGTGAAGCTTGACACAGAAGATGAAAAAAACACATTAAATTTGATTTTGCAGTTACAACCCAGAGAAAAAAAAAAAAATTAATTTACCCCCTTATTAAGAAGATTATTGAGGGCAAATCTATCTGCGTTTAACTACTGTCTGCCTCTTTATGCATGGATATTACCTAGTAATGCACCATGTTTTAATGCACTATTACCCTAAACCCAATATTTGGGGAATATATTGGCAGTTTAGTTTTCCTTACTGTGTTCCTGTGAGAAAAAGTAGTGAGAGAAATATGAAGATTAAGTTACTAAGGTATAATTCATTTTCCTGATTCTAAGGCATGTATTATTTTATGCTGCTTATCCCAGCTAATGAAAGTCAGATTTAATTAGGTTTTGGGATTTGACACAACACGTCTTACCAGCTTTCGCAAAGGATTGTAGAAAAACATTTTCTGAAAGCAAAATCTCCCTAACTATTACCTGAAAAGACAAGAGAAAGATGTGACCACAGTGGTTGGGCACACAGGAAGGAATAATTTTAAATATAAACGGATTTTTATTTTCATGCAACAATTTTTAATGGCAAATATTAGAGATGCTGCTCTGTCTGAAGACCTCAAAATCTGGATACGGAACAAAGAGTGGATGAGGCAAAGCTTAAATATGTGAAGCTACCATTAATGTGACTTTCTCTTTTTGGCTCCCTGTCCAGAATAGATTGAGCTAAAATCCCTGGACTTTGGGGGCCAACACTATGAACTTTGTGAGTATCAAAACCTTAATCCATATCTTATAGGTCAATTTCATTCCCAGTAATCTATCTGGTCAGAATTCCATTTTTTAAATTCAGTAGTGAACTGTTTTACATGTCTAAGGTTTTGAGTAAATTTCCAGAATCATTTTTTGAAGGAAAAAAAAGAAAAATGTTTTTATTTAAATACACTCATACCTTTATGTCTGAGGTTTACTATTTGACCACAAATACACATTCCAACATGAAAAATATGGGATCAATGTTATTTTAATTCACAATCTAACCTAAATTCTTGTGTCTTTCAAGTATACAAGTGTTAAGCACTGTAACTCGCTGTCAAACTGCAGTCACCTGCATCAACTCCAGTGTCAACTCAGCAAACTCTCTACTGTCCCATGTTACTGACCATTTCCACTCAGCATTTAGGATACAACTATTCTGTTTTAGAGGATACCATGATTTTACAATATCAATGTAGTTTTATCAGTTGGGCCTGCAGACAGAAAATACATTTTGTTATTGTTTTGTTTCTGTGACAGAGGTAGCTTCTGAGGCTACAGGGAGATTGGTGGCCTATTTATTTGGATGTACTTGGCAAATGATCCCCTAAATGAGAGATCACTGCTTTCTGACAACATTTAATTAAATCAGGAAAAAAATATATTTATGGGGAAATTAATGTAGGGCTTGAACTTAAAAAAACCACAACAGTTTGGTTTCTTTTTTTGAAATATAATTTGAAATAAGATTAAAAGGCATATGGTAATGGGAATCTTTAAGGGGATATATACAATCTGAGTGCCTAGTTTTATTTTGCTGTCAGAAAACATCACACAAACCCACAATTATTTATAGTTCTTTCAAGCTACAAGGTTAAAAAGGGTGTTCATGTTACCTTCTAGAAAGGCTCATGCCAAAACCCAAGGAATCTAAGTCCAAATGGTAATTTTCATCTTTTGAAAAAGATTGAAATAACTTCAGAGTTTTAAAAAAGAAGTATCACTTAATCCTATGTAATATATAGGAGCACATGTGTACAAAATCTTGTAGAACACAATACAGGCTGACCATATTAAGAAAAAAATGGCTTACACGTAAGTTAATGCTGACCAAATAACAGTGGAACAGTGGTTTCTGCTTCATCCTTTTTTTTTTTTTTTTTTTTTTTTAAAGTCTGGGTTCAGTTCATTATTAATGAGAGGGCAGAAAGTTGAATGGAAAATTCTCACTAATTTAAGTCCACCTTGGAAAAATTAGCTGAAGGAATGATGGAGTTTAAAACATTAAGCAACAATGGGGTTCATGGCAGTGAATAAAGACAAAAGGCAAGAGAGGTGAGTGCCTGATACGTAAGTTTTGTAAGCCATGAGGTGATTTTAATCCCAATGAAATGAATCCTGAAGACACAGGTTTGTCTATCTTACTATACATTTACACTCTTTAATTATTAAGTATTAGAAAGTAGATAAAGCTCCTTCTCTACATTCTTTTGAGTAGAACGATTTCCACCCGCTTATTCAATTTTTTGCACCCCTGAGAAAAGTTTTTTGTTCCACTTTGAAACTTTGATTTCTGCTGTACCTCCTTTGATTAGATACCATACCACCTCAGGGGTCATCACTAATAACCACCTTTACAATTACTCTCAACAAAGACTGACAGGAGTCCTGGCAAGGGTAGGGTCCTCTGGAAGACCCCAAACCATTACATTACCTTAAAATGATTACTGTAAACAATTAAACACAGTCATTTACTTCTTACACCTCACATACAATGGTCCCACAACGATCATCCTAAATGCCTTTACAAATATAGGGAAGGGCATTCAACAATGCTTTTCAGTGGCAATTCACTGTAACCACTGACGGGAAGGTAAAGGGATAGGTATATCATAGGAATCATACAATAATTCAGCCTATGTCTACATGGTTTCACACCTGTTCTGCTGAGAAGGACCTTTGATGTTCTGCGATTGTCATATATTATCATTAATTATGTATATAAATGACAGACTAGTATTTACCAGAGCACATACATGCACTTCAAGAAAAAGTTTTCACTATAAACCTGTGTAAATTTTCTGTTTCTCATTCTGTAGATATTTTAGTAACTTTTAGACTTCTTGTTTTACTATGTACTTATTTCTCACTTTTGTGACTAATCCAGAAAACTTTGGACTTTTCTCATTTACAAATCTAGCCTCACTTGGAAATGAATTTTGGAAGCATGTGTGTGTGTGCTCGTAGTATTTTAAGAACCCAGAAATACCACTTGAAGAAAAAATTTGGGACTGTTTACTTTAACTTGACTTACATGTTCTGCAACAGCTATAAAAAAATCAAAATCTGGGTCTGAATCTATTAAAAAGTACTGTACTCACTTGAACTTAAAACCCCCTGACTATTCCTATCTCTGAGGAAAACACACTTCTTAAGGATTCTGCAGCAGAAGACAAGTAGTTTAGAAAAAGTAATGTATTTTACATTTTCTGTGATAGAAGTTAGCGGGGTTTTTTAACAGAACAAATTTGAGTCTACCCATGTTTTGGATACATATGAGTCATTAAGTATGTAGTATATATTACTATAAAGATATTTGCTTTTAAAGAAGACAATTATTTTTGAGAATACTGGACTTAAAAACAACTTTTTGAACAACACCTACTTGAGGTCTTGGGAAGGTTCTGCTCTGATATGGGGTGTCTCCACAGAGTGCCCAAACACTGCCCCTTCCGTGCCTAAAATACATAAATAAAATACAGTACAATTACTTTGGAAAATAACACATTGAAATGTATGACCACAAATTGACAGTTTTAGGACAAGATGTCTGATTTAATCCTTTATTAAGGATAACAAATGTTTCTTCATATTAATGTTTGCATTTTTATATAAGAATCTGGATGGATATAATGTGAAACTTTTTCTGCTTTTTAGTAGATGAATTTCATATACAAATCTGAAAGCATTTATAGATCCAAACTTTTCAGCACTGACTTGCCTGAATTCTCATTTCAACACTTGGGAGATGGACTGTTTTACAGATGTGGAAAAAAAATATCATATAACACATTCTAGAAGTGTCAGTTATTTTTTGCACATGCTCATTTTATTTGCTTAGATTTAGATGCCAATCTTTCAAAGGGTTTGTAATAATAGAAATATGATATAAACTTTAGGTGGGCTTTTTTCTTTGGCGGGTTTTTTTTTAAGAAACCCCCTGAAGAATATACATGTGCCCGTAAGCTTTTACTTTCCTTCCCTGAAGATGGTGTACTGGGAACTGTACTAATAAAAATAGCTCGAACTATTGTGTAAAAGTCTTTCCAACAGAGAACCATCAAAAAAGGTAAAAGAACTGATTGAAAACTTTTGTAAAAAAGGAATGCTTTTACCTTCCATCACTAGAAGATAAAGGAAACTGTCTGGGATAATTAAAAGTGATTACTAAATATTCTGGGTCTGATTGCTGTATTTCAATAGAAGTTTTCTTGTGTTCTGAATCTCGAATTCTGAGTAAGCTTAAAAATATACTCACAATATCTCACACTAGCTATATAAGTGCTCAACAGAACAGAGGTACCACCTTGTTACAATATTATAAACAAAATATTTTCAATTATACAATATTTAAAAATTTTACAAGTATGTTTAGAAATGTTTTTTTAATGGAGGCAAGATATATAGATATTTTTACAGTTAGCCAACAACATTTAGTAAACTTATCCTATGAGGACCTGAAAGCAGAATGAGGCTATAGAGTATTTAATTGCTAATACCTTTTTACAGCATTAAAGCGAAAATATCCTGATCAAGAAGTTAGAAAAATCTAATCAATCGTTAAAGTACTGTCAAATAGTCACCACTGTTCATGTTCTAAACTCAATTAAAAATAAAATAAAATAAAATAAAAATTCCTTTATTGTAAAATACTGGTATTGAGTATCCTAGGTCTTAGGGTTTCATCTCCAGAAATCTATGAACTTAACAAATATCTTGGCAAAGCATACTGAAAACAATTTCATTACAACTGCTGCTATGAAGATTTCACAAGAAAACAACTAAATCCACTCTCCATAACAAAACTTCACAAGTGTTATGGAGAACCCCAGGAGAGGGGAAAAAAAAGCATATCTCTTCACGTAAAAAGTATTCACAGAGGTGCAGTGCAAAATATGTTTTTTAAACCTGATGTTGCCTTGCAATTCTGCTGCCTTTAAGTGACAGGAATATCATGCCTGTATAGCCAGGCTTCCTGTCACTCAAAGCAATTCTCACCCCCAACTATATTGGCACATAAGAAATTCTACAGGAGCCAGATCTCAGAAAACTCAGAGTGCTCTTCCAGAACCCAATCACCTTTTTCATCAGCAAAATTAAATATTTTCAAGACCAAGGGTTTTTCTATTTTTGAAGTGGCAATGGGATATTAAGATATAAATAGCTGAGCAGGATGCAAAATTGCCAGCCTTTGATTATGAGAAGACCACAGCTGTAATGTTTGAAAGAACAGAATTAATTCAATGATGTATAAAACATCACTGTTGTACAGGTCAGACACTAAATGCATCAGAAGTGCCAAGGATAATATGAGGCAAAGACTGATAGCAAAAATAAATGACAGCTTTTCTAAGCCAGAATTGGTATTTCCTCATTTTCAACAGCAGTTTTTTTAAAAGATGAGAAGGCATTTCTTACCTAACAAAACAGAAATTTCAAAATGAAGACAAAATTTGTCCAACAAGACTGAAAATCCAGGCAGGCAGAATGAAGGATAAACCAGTATAATTAAATAAAATACAATTAAAACAAACCAGATGTGCTCCTTTGGCTATTTGAAGATATAATCCCACTTTTTTTTTCCTTCTTCTTGTACGGCCTTAAAAGTAAAGCAGTTCTCACAGTAAATGGTTTATCCTCAAAAAATATTTTATCAGTAACTTCAAGAATATCTGCAAATTCTTTTATTTTATACTGGAAGAAAAGCAGGCACTTATAATCATCTTGGTTCCAGTAAGAAAGGTGAAAAATAAGAGCCACCCAGAATTTACTGATGTTTTTCCAGAGTTAAATAGCAGGATCATGAAAAATGGAAAGGAATTGTAAAACAAATAGAAGACATGGATCAACATTAGTTAAAAATATAGAAGAAAAGCTACAGGAAGATTTTCTTTATTTTTTAATTTACTATGTGTAAATATATAGTGCTTTGATGGGAAGTTAGAAACATAGTTCAATAATGCTTAGGAAAAGGTGCTGCAATCATACCTTTTTATGACTAATAAATAGAACAATATTAATCAGGATTCAAAGTGATTAGCATGCTTTTTTAATGAAAAATATAGTTTAGGTATTTAATATTTTACAATGTTGAAACAACTTTTTACAGAAATAAGACAAGGGATTATTAACTGTATTCCCTTACTTACAGAATCATAACGAAGACCTACTTTGAGATGAGTGAAATTCTAGAGAGAGATGAATGCACAGGAAAAAGTAATAAAAAGAAACTACTTGAACCTTCAAGCCCTTTCAAGTACAGCTCAAAAGGAAGTAGTTAGGGAACTGAATTCAAAGGAACATGAGTTAGAATGGATAGCTATAAAAAGTGAACCTTTCAGAGGAAATAAAATAGCAAGGGCACTGAGTATGTGCAAAGGATGTAAAATCAAAATTGTAAGTGTAACTGAATAAAATTACTCCCACCTCCAGCTTCCAGTGGAAGAGAATGAGTTAAGACTTCAGTAAGAAAGAAGCACCTGTGAAGGCAAACTTCTGGTCAAAGAATATAGTCACTATAGAGGTTTCTAGAGAAAATTCAGCAAATAGTATGAGCCAGGAAAAAAGACCAGAAGCCCAATTCCGTATTTATAAAGAAACCTCTTTATGCATAACAGATTTATAAACACCAGAAAAAACAGACCTATAAAACCACTATTTTTTTGATACAGAGCAAATTAAAGTGACCCTTTTGCTCCAAGCAAAAAATAGTCACACTTTCTCCTGAAATTGAATATTCAGAATTCAGAGAGACCAGTATAAACTATTGATTTCTGCTCAAATTACAGGTTCCTGAAATTCAGCCTGTGGGAAATGACATGCTTCTTAAAAATGATGGAAGTACAATGCCAGTGTTTGGTGTCAGATTATATTTGCTTATGTATGGTCATGCTAAGGAAATTTTGTCATTTATTTAACCAGCAAATAATCATTTTGTAATTTATAAATTAGCTCACATAACAACACCAGCACCTTCCAGGTGAAAAGAATGGCAGCTGAGGAGTTGATGAGCCAAGAATAAAAAAAAATAATGTATTATTTTACTGTGAAAAATAACCCAAACATCAGCATTATCCCACTCCTTAACATCATTTTGGTAAACAAATCACCTCAAATGTACTGACAGCAGAATTGTGTAGGATTTGGACACGCACAGATTACATGACATTGCAGGACCACAGGCACAGTTGAAATTTACTGCCCTCATCTTTCTCTACATTTTCCAGAAATGTCAAGCAACAATATGAAGCACTAAGATTATGCAAGTATTAGGCTGTAACACCAATTTGTCGAATGAGTTTGAGAGTTTAAGGAAGAGTTTGTAAAACATTTTTGCAAATATAATTTTTGAAGCTTGTAACTGTATTTATTCTATTCTAATTATTCTATGATTCTATAGTTCTACTTGTTTCAAACCCATTATCAAGTTAAAGTATCCACAGGCTTTATATAGAAATGTGAGTAATTAACCAAGATTGTTTTACCATTGAACAGACATTGAAAACATAGGCTTTAAGTTCTAAAAGTGTAATTGCAATAAGAAAAAACAATTCTTAATTCTTTTACCAGGTGTACACAGGTAAAATTTAGAAGTGCCTTTGTGAGATTAGATAGCTGTTATTCAACACTAAGACCTTGGAAGAGCTAGTCACTGCCAGACTGAATAAGGAGAGAAATATTCAATTACACAGATTAACAACCATAAAAAGGCCACAGAAAATGCTTGGTGATTCTTTTGTAAAAGCCATTATTATAATTTATGTTGGGCTGATCAGAAACCCAAAAGAGTTAGAATGCAGCTTCTGGACTACATGTTCATTGTGCAGCTCTTCAAGACTTTCAATTTTGATAAATGGCTTGAAGTGTAATTCAGGAAGGTGCTTCTATTAAAAAGCACAATTCAAATGGATTTTTGCTAGGGAGGTGGATTTTGCTACGACTGGCATGATTGCTGGGATTTCAACCTTGTGGAATCCCTCAGCAGCAAAAAACTCACCAATGCTAAGTAGCCAAGGTTTCAAGTACAACACTGATGTGGCCGTACTGGAAGTACAGGTAGGAATCATAGAATAGTTAGGGTTGGAAAGGACCTTAAGATCAGCCAGTTCCAGCCCCCCTTCGGGGACATTAGAGGAAGCTGTATTACGGCCTGACTAGATGCAGCTCTTCACTTGTAAAGTAAATCATGAGCATAGAAATCTTCAGAGGCAAGCTGTTATCAGAAAGTAAATTCTAAAATGAATGATTTAGATTTGTTACCCAAAGCTGCCCAAGGAAGCTGTGAATTTTCCACTCCTGGCAGTGTTCAAGACCAGGCTGGATGTAGTCTTGGGTGACATGGTTTAGTGTGTGGTGTTCCTGCTCACTGCTGTGGGGTTGGAACTAGATGATCTTAAGGTCCTTTCCAACCCTAAGTATTCTATGATTATACGACTAATGTTTGATAAATAATTTCCAT